TTATCTCGTGGGAGGAGTGACAGTTATGCCGGGTCACCCAGTTGCTCCCATAAATGCGTACATGGTATTGACTATTGCCACTTGGTTGTTTTGATGGCCAGTTCTGCCCACCCATTACTCTGGGGATAGTACACTGATGATGTGTGCTTTTTCTTCCCCAACTATAGAGGAACATGTTATATTCCTGGGAATTGAACGGTGGTCCTCCATTGGACAATATTTCTTCTGGGGCACTGTATATGTGGAACCAAATCTGTAGGGTGTCACCTGCTGTTTTGGTCTTCCCAGATGACATAAGGGCAACTTCTACCCATCCTGTGTACCGATGTAATTTTGTCCTTACAGGTTGAAAAATCCATCATTGTCTTTTGGAATGGGAATTCAGGATTCAATGGTGGCATCAAGGGTTCCCTAAGCTGTGATAGGGCCATTACGTTGCATGTTTTGCATTAGGCTCTAGTCTGTTGAATACTCATGCCTAGACCTGGCCAAAATAATCATTATCTGATGTTTGCAAGCATACCATTAACTTCCTGATGTGTGGAATGCAATGACTCAAGTACTTCTCTCTGTAGTTTTTTGGGTATGAGTATCTTGTTCATTATCATTACTCCTTCCAGACAGTCTAATGCTTCTTTCATTGGCTAAAATTGGTGGATTATCTCTGGTAGTTGATACCGAAACTTGGGGAATCCCTTCTGTATGTGTTCCATCAGGGACCAACATTTCTTATCTGTAGCTGCCACAGCCACAATCCTGTCCCACATGATTGCCCTTAACTTTGGGTCGGGTTCATAGGTGGAATCAAATGTTGCCTTTATCATCTGTTGATCATATGTGCTGAATCTTTCCTAGTTGTAACATCTTGGTGCTGCAGGGTACTTTGATGTGCAGTCTGGAGCAGCATTGAGTTTGCTAGGGAGGTGTTTTATACAGAACTTGTACATTAATGAGCATTTCTTGAGGTTGAATAGTCATGGGTTTTTTATGTTCTCCAGAACCTTGTCTAAGAAAATTTTTATTAGGGGCTTGTGGTTCACCATTACTGGTAGCTCCAGACACTGAACATCCAACACAACTCTAATCCATATACTAGCACCAGTGCTTCCCCCTCCACAGGTGCATAGCATGACTCAGTGTCACTGGTGAATTGGGATCCAGCTAGAATTAGCTTCCAGTGGTCTTCACCACAAATCGGTCCCACTTTGATGGCACAGTTACAGTGCTTCTGGAACAGGAAGTAACCTAACCCTGTTCTGCTAAAGTCTGTTGACAGACACATTGGCCTATTGACTTTAGACGTCTTCACACTGTCCTCGATTTCTCATGCAATCCTTTGTTTTGATTCATAGAATATTTCGTCGAGTGTATTGTCTCAGTAGAACTTCCAGTTCTTTGTTCATAGTAATTCCCAGAAAGGGACCATTAACTTGAGAGAATGTATATGAGACATGGTTCACAAGTCCAAACCAGGATCTGATGTTGGTGATGTTTTGGGGTGTCAGGAACTGCAGGATTGCTTCCATCATCCTCTTAGTGGGTTTTATCCCATCCTCCATTATATGGAACCTGCTGAAATCCACCTCTTTTTCTGCAAAGTGAAATTTCTCTGGGTTGAAGACAATGCTGATGTTGCCACAGTGTACCAAAATGATGCTTCTATGGAATCATTCTAGAGTATGCTGTCATCAGTACATTGGGTTTTTCAAACCATATTGATGGTTATATCATTGAATCGACAAGTATATGTATCTCCCGTCGTGGGGAACATCAGTGGGGCCAAAAGATATTGATATCTACCCCATTCAGTGATGAACATAATTTCGTAACATGCAGCTGGAGAGAGAAGCTCATGTGCACTGGCACCATCAAGACCTGATTAAATGGATATGGGGTAGGGTGGGTTTGGAGGCCCCCTGGTGGTGAGAACATGAAACTCTTGTTTTGTCATGCTTGTCGTTGATCTGTTGGTGGATCCCATTTTGGGCCTCTGGCACACCCTCTTCATATGTCTGATTAAAACATGCATACTTAGCCCCCAGGCAGCCCTTCCAATTGATCAATTGGGATGTGAAGTCCTTCCACATTCTCTGCAGTGGTTGGTGTACTGTGTAGTCAGGGAGGAGGTCTTGACTTTTTGAGACTGTTACTCACAGTCTGACCTTTGTACACTGGATAATGTAATGGGGTGTATAATGTTGTGAAGATGAGGGGTTGACTTGTCCATTGTTTCTAGGCTGACTAACCTGGAGTGGTGAGGGTAGTGGCCTCTGCCAATATTTTGCTCTGGTGTGACATTAGCAAGCCCTGCTGCCACCATACATCCTAGTATCATATTGCTGGAGTAATTCGCTTGCTAATCGCAGTCTGTTTTGTTTGGGCAAGTAACTATAAACACAGAAACTTTGGCCAGGTCTCTTAAGTGAGCTAAAAAATGGGTGATTGCCTCCCCCTCTTTCTGCCTCATAGAGTGAAAGTTCTCCCTGTGCACTTCTTTGTGCAACTCCCTGACATCAGTGAGCTGTATTTGCTGTAACAGCTGTTCATCTGTGGCAGAGTTGAGTGTCTCAGCTCCCACTAGGCCAAATAGCAGCCTGTTCACCTCTGGGGTACATGCCATCCTCAGCTTGTTCCAGATAACTGCTGGGTCCATTAGTTCACACATCTTTTTATAACAGGTCCATGTGTCAACAAACATCATCCAGTCTTCATCTGTTGCATCCAGTCCTACTGTAGATCGTTCAGGTTTTCTGACATGAGACATGTTTGGCTGGCCACAAAGTCCTTCCTTACATCGTGTGATGTTTTCCTTTTGTAGTTCAACAAGTTGTTGCCTAAACTGCAAATATTGCTGGTTCATAGCTGGTTTTGTCTCCATGTTTCAAAGTCATCAATTTGAATGTTGGTATTTTTTGAAGTTCTCAAAAAAAAATTCCTTTCAGCGATGCCAAGTAGAGTGCTTGAGTGACAGTTGTAGTCTGTTTAACTCAAGGCTTCCCACTAGCCTTGTTTAAATTTGCATTGTTCACACATGGGCCACACCTTGCACATGGCCAGTTTAGTCCATTTCATGGATGGTTTACCGGTGTTGTTCTTATGGATGTCCCTCTGTATGATACAGCCACCTGCCCTACAGTTAGAATATGCATTTGAAAGAAATTTTCAAGGAAGGCTGAATATTATTCTAATGATCTGAATGGCTTGTTGAAATACCAACTTAAAAATCATATAAGACATGACCAGGAAATCAATTTCAACAAAAAGTACAGGTACAGCTTTAACATGAAAAGTTATTTTTGTTTTGTGTTTTTTTTTTAGTTGCTTTGTGTTAAGAAGTGAAATTTTATCTTCTACAGAACCTATTCATTTTTTAAGATTGGAAAGAAGTCAGTATTGGTCATTTGTTCTTTACTTTTCTAAACCTTTCATTTTATTTTGAATATTTTTAGATCACTATCTTTCTTTTTATTTTGTTCCTATTATCTTCTCTGTCTTTATGGTGAAAAGTCCTGCTTGTTTCAGACAAGCTGGAATGGAGAGGGACAAAAATAGCAACTAGTTCTCAGAAAAGAGAATTTATCATTACCTAGACAGAAGAAGGATTTCATACTAAATCTTCAGCTTTTCTGTGTGTACCCACCACCACTTTATATAATTTCTTATTGTAAATGGAACAATGTTCTACTCAAATGTGTAAATCCTTCAAGACCAGCTCATACCTCAATCCCTGACACCTTTTACTGAATTCACACAAGTGAATGTCAATAGACTTTCTGCCAATAAATGTTAAAATAATTTTTAAAATAGATATTAAGCTGTTGTAAATCTATGAAAACAAGAAAAGAAAAGACAAAATTTGTATGTTGTCCTCCCAGACAAAATGGTGTGGGCATCAGTAACTCCCCCACCTAATGGATCCCATTTTAAGTTCCTGTTTTCTAATGAGAATTAATTAGAAATAGGTCAGAAAATTGAAAAAAAAAAAAGAATAAAAAGGGAGAATTTAGTTCTTTAAATTGCAGGATCATAAAGTAAAGAAGTTAGCTGATCACTAAGTGTGAAAAAACAATTTCTTTTTGCAACTGATGTTTTCAAAATATATTTTAAAAAAGATTGAATAAATACAGGGAAAATTATTGGTAAAATAAAATAAACACATCTTTCTGCATATATATGCATGAAAAACATGCTTTCTATAAATACGAGAATGAACCATTGATATTCAACTAAACTTGCATCCAAATACATTTTGTGCTTTTCAATAGAAACAATATTTTTACTTTTGATATTAAATAAAGAAACAAATTAAAAAGTCAATAAGATTTATTGTTACTTCTATTTTGGTTATTTTCTTTCAGTGTAGACTGTTGTAAGCCATTGCAACAGTAACAAAACTATTAAATGTTATATGATTGAAAAAGATGTTAAAAGGAAAGAAATAAAAAAGTCTAATTGAAAGAAGCATTAAGTAGAAACAGCAGTTTAACTATCAGCTCAAAAAGATCAAGACAATGAAGCAGAGATTATGCCAACATAGCTATAAATACAAATATATATATATGGATTCATAAAGTAGATATTTGCCATTTATACTGGGTGTCCCAAAAATATGTACCACTCTTTGACTTCCTATAACTTGAAGTTTTTTCTTTTATCAGATCCATGCATTTAATTCCATTTAATATTTAATTTAAACTGTTAATCTTCTTTGTAAGTCAATAAACATTAATGTTTCTTAATTTTAACCCTTAATTTTGTTTGCATGTCAATAAACAATGTATTTATTGTCATTTAAAGAGTGAGTCCATTTTGGGACATCTCGTATATCTCCAACATCAACTATCAAATGTCAGAATGATAGCAGAAAGAAAAATATCAAATTCAAAATTGGCTTATTTGCTCAGACCAAGATGCATTAATTATTTGCTCAGACCAAGATGCATTAATTATTTGCTCAGACCAAGATGCATTAATTATTTGCTCAGACCAAGATGCATTAA